AACTTGCACATGGCCTGACAAACAAAAAACACATAAACTGACAAAAAAACATAGTACACATTAACGAATAATCCCCATGACTAATGATAGAACTTTGTTGTACCCAGGTTCAGCTATTTACCGAAAGTAGGACTTCTCAGTTTTATTAAATTGAACTGATGTTTAAATGTTCACCATTTTTGGCCTACATATTAGAATACTGAGATCACCATATATGCTGAAGGTCCCGACAGTACAGAGTTACAAACAAATTCTAAACACCATATTTGCTGAAGGTCCCATCAATACAGAGTTACAGAACAAATTATTTGTCCAATGACAACGTAAGAGTCACGACCAGCAATCACAAACAACACTAGCTCAACCGCGGGCATGTGTGTGCGGCAAGGGGAGGAGATACTTTGATGCTAGATGTGTAGAGACAACAAGCTCATCAAGCGTAGAAGACGATGGACGACTCGCGTAGTAGGCCTTGAACTGCTCGCCTGATGGCTATGGATCATGCAAAATCCTGACCAAAAGATCACATTATTTTCACCAAACTGATCTCTTGAACTTGCTCCACGATAATCTTTGAACCTCCTACAAGAAAAGCCATTATTTTAATGTTCATACGAATACCTACAAGCAATGATCACAAACATTTAGTGAACATTTCTTTTAAAGACTTATGCAACAATAATTAGAACCATAAAAATAGGGTGAAACTATGGTAACTACATTACATATCATCTAGATTCTAGCAATAACCGTTTTGCATGATCATTGGCATTTGGAATAGCATCCAACAACAATTAGAGTTCTATAAGACCGCATTTGTACTTATTTTTGAAGATGTATTTGTACTGCCCAAAAGCATAAGCTGAAGCACAAAATAAACATTTAAATATATTTGTGCTCACAGGAATAATCACACACCTAGAGAGCATGTTCTTTTCACATCTTCCCAACTACTCAATTAGCAAAGCAGCACATCTACACATTTTAATAACAGGAGCAAAGAAAGAGAGAGATTGATATGAGAGAGTGTCGTTGAAGCACGTTAAGGACTCCCATCAGCGCTCAACTTAGACGACTGCCAGCAACCATGGTGGATGTGCCAGTGGTGGTGCGGCATGGCTAGAGCAGGCCGCTGGCTGATATTCCAACACATCATGTTAGAGCACCAGGGAAATAGCAAGTTTTCCATAAAAATGTTATCCATACTAGGTAAGACCAAAGCTACAGGACAATACCTTTTCTTGAGCTAGCTACTACATGTACTGACTCCTCCACCACTGTAGCGTCCCTGTATCCTCCTTGCGCGGACAACCACTAGGGATCAAGCGATGCTGCCACTCGACACATTTGAACCACCTGTAGGAATCAAAGTGAACGGAAGGGATTCAAACACATCAATGGACACATGTACTACACAACAATGTGCACCTGTACTGTCCATGACAACAAACTAACAAAAATTAAATTTTCGTTCAACTATTGCAGACTTTTGAGTAGTAGACGCACAACCTGACAAGGCAATGTACAAGTTCATGTGAAAAGAACAACCAAGTTAATGTACAGTAACATCATAAGTTCAAAAATAAAAATAAAAAGAGTTTTGTACTGTTTTTGCTATAACAACTAAGTTAATGTATGCCATGGGGCTGGACTAGGACATCGTATATCCTTGAGTGGTGGAGAGGGAGATCATGTCACTACCAAATCTATCAGGGTACTAGAAATTCATGGAACATAAGTAAAACCAAACTAATTGATTACAAGCACTCCTATGAACAGAACTTAAATTAGAAATTGAGGTGAACTTAAATAGTGAAAACAAGAGTGCTGATGCTAGCTTTCCAATCCTAGAACTAGGAACATGTGGGAAACATGCAACATGCCTGAACTTGGTGTGGATTGGTAGTTGAACTTGCTACCCATCCACACTAGTACCAGCGACACAAGACCGAAGTATTTAAGCAATACCTGATGGCATCGAGAATACAAGTGACTAAAACATTTAGCAATAAAAGCGATGGTACAGAAAAATTGAACTGATGTTTTTCTGTCATTCCGACAAACCTCCAGCATGTTTTTATGAATTGAGTTTTTTCTACCATTGTACTGTTGCTTTAGGCTTTTCGAATGAGGTGAAAGCCTCTGGTGTATTTGAACATTTACTGAACATTCAAAAATGTTTTGAACTGATGTGAATCCTTTCACCGAACTACTAATACAAATTTTCATGAACCTACCCATTTATATGAACAAGTTCTATTTCTGCTAGGCATTTGCGCACTTTTGTGCTAAGCAAAGAGAGAAAGAAAACAACCTGGAAATGTTTCCTGCCACCGCACGTTGACGGGGTGTGGATATGGATGAACTGACTGACCCATTTTTCTTGTACTGAAGCTTATTTCCAGAAATTTAAGACAATGCAAATATTATCTACAATATGGACATTTAGTATAGTCTGAACTAAACTCTTTGGCACTTTTGAACTGAGGTAATAGCTGTGAACTTGTAACAAAGAATAGAACTCAAAAAGAATTTTTTTGTAGGTGGAATAAGACGTTGGAGATCGGGTGGACTGGCTACACCTCCTCCTCTGGACTGATTGCTCTGGTGAAGTGGAGCTGATGGAGGCGGAGATCACGAGCATGCCGCGCTTTGGCGACTGCAGGGAATCCCAGCGACTACCAAGTCATCCCCGAGAAGCTTGTAGAGGCGGGGCAGTTGGTCACAGGTCATCCCGTGTAAGTTCAACTACCAGGCGTGGTGGCAGAGAGAGGCTTTTGGCGGTGATGTCCGGGAGGTGAGGTGGATGGCTGCGGGCGCGGGCTAGGCGGTGATAGTGAGAGAGTGCCGTTGATGCACACAGAGGACTACCATCAGCGCTCAACTTGGACGGCTGCCAGCAACCGTGGTGGACGGGCTGGTGGTGGTGCCTTATTTTTTGTAAATAAAAGCTCCTACATTATGCTATACTTCCATGCAGTTCTTCACTCAAACAATATTGTAACAACCAACATAAAAATAGTTGACCTGGACTTGATCCACTAGCACCAACTTACTGGCTGAATCAAATTTTGTGATTTGAAGCAGCAGCAATAGTCGGACTAAGGGAGACATGCATGCGGTTATATAGTTGAACTTGCATGATCTGCAAATAAGAGCATGACTTATGTACTTACTGGACAATACCATGTGAAACAGTATAATGCTATGTGAACCTTTTTGATGGACGAGCTTTTAATTTTTATTCTCAGTACTTCTCAGAAATGAATATCTGAACCACCAGACAGGGGTGTGGTAACCAAAATTCAGAAGAGTAGAAACTCAATAAGGCAGCATACTAAAATAAGAAAATGAACTGAACAGAAAATAAGAATTGCACTGAACTAAAATCAGAATTCGAACTGAGTGTCACAAAAGATGAACTTGTGCATATGTTTTTTGCTCCCACACCGGTGTAACAAATTCAGGATGACATGGATTTGTGTACATATAATAATATGAATCGAATGAGACAATAAAGAGAGCAGTAAAAGGATTTCATATTTTAACCTTGAGATGATCTCTTTCTGGAGGTCTTGATGGAAAATGCTGGTGTAGGTACCACACAGACACCAACTAAACACCAGGCCTTCTCCAATAAGAAACAATGACCCCTCCTTCGAGTGTGTGAACTTAATAACAGTAGTTGAAGTAATAATTTCAGTTTAATCATTTGAAGAACCAGCTTCAGTGTTTGAATTAGTACCTTTTCAGAGGTGCAGACGCAGCCGGAAAGAATTTCTTGTGGAGCTCGAGGGAGCGCTGATCGTAGCGCGACAGGGAGCATCGAACTACCCGCTACCAGGAGGTTGAGCTGCGGAGGAGCATTCACTGCCCACGGCGAGGCAGAGGTGCGCCAGCGGGTGACGCAACCTCATTGGAAGCGGGCGGATCCGGGGCCAGTGTGACACAGCCTCGTTGGATCCAGGCGGCACGGCGGCAGGAGAAGCATGTATTGTGCATGAATGGAGGGGGTGTGGAGGTGATGTTTCTACGCAAAGGCCTTTGTGGTTTTTTTTGCTCGTACATTTTCATGCAAGCACTATTATTTGTTTTCTTGATTCTCGGAACTTGGGCGAAGAGAGCATAACAAGGGAAGTGAAGCAATGCCACCACCAAGTACCTACATAAGAATTGAACTGAATGAAATCTAGGAATTGAGCTGAAAGAAAAACTGGACATTATAGGTACACTGAAAAATAAATTGTACCTTTTCTGCCTTTTTTTGTTTTTACCATGAACTTGCCAGGTTTTGGAGTTTGAACTTTCTATGTGATTTTTTTCAAACTTTTCCAAGTTTTTATTTAAATTCGTAGTGATCAGCAAATTGTTTTCTTATATAGGTCCAAATGAAACGGTTTTTAATTTTCTTTTTGTACATATTTTCTTGTTTCTGGTCTTAATCTTATTTCCCAACAATCTGTTTTTTGAACTGATGTAAATTTATGTTTGATCTTACTAGCTCTCGGTCAAAAGAACTCACGAACGAGATGGAACTAGAGAAATATGATAGATCAAATATGGCAAAAAAAGTGCAACTCAAACTGTTTGACGGATGGGCAAATGTACAAGTTCACGTAAAAAGAACAAGTTCATGTACAGTAAGTTGAAGTACACAAAGATACCTAAATATAATTTGTGTACTTTGAAATAGTTTATTCTACTTCCAAAATACTTCATTTGTTTTGAAATATGAACTTCTATATTTATTTCCTTAGAACTTATTATTAGAGAGCCCATTTATTATTAGAGAGACTCTTTTTGTTTCAATTCAAAAATGAGCACATGCTATTATTAGGTATCAATATAACCAAAACTTGTTGTTGCAGAACCCATTGTCTCGCACGCAGAAAGTCTCCTGACCTGTTAACATATGGTTGAGAATGCATGAGACCAGCTGTTACTACAAGTAACACGGCACAGTAACAAACACAAGCAAGGAATAGCATCATACCAGAGCTTTATCCCTCATCATTTTGCGCATCGAAAAGGCGAGCCTGACAAAAATAGCAGCATGCCAGTTTCAACACCGTCGAGTAGCTCTTCCCGCCAGGATGCGAGACGAATGCCTAGACATGAGAAAATAGTGGACAATATAAGACGTTTTTCCACCATAAATTGGGCACTGCAACTCATGAAAGCAAGTGTAAATTTATTATTACTGAGAACTGGTTGGCAAGGACAGGCTTCTCTTCATAGATCCTGGGGAATATTTGAAACTGCTGAAAGTACCCTCGGTAGATTCTCCCTATGCTTCCTGAACTGAAAAGAAGGAGAAGAGAATGCACTTTGAATAAAACCGTCATCTAAAGTTCAGTCAACTGCAGAGCCATGCATGAATGTCACAACACAACCATGGCAAGTCTCAGAGCAAAATCAGGACCCGAAACATCGAAAGAACTTACCCTAGTCCGCCAAGGGGTACCCCGCGGTAGCAGTTGTCCATCCATTTCCTGAGCGGATCATATACGACGACCTTTGGGAAACAAGATAATAATTGTTCAACAATTTCACTGGCTACTGACTACTGACTAGGCAGAGTAATTTGCACCGGCATTTCAAGTACATGTGCATGCTGGTTCACAGGTTAGCTGAATGTTCAATGATAGAAAAGCGACTCACTTGGTTTTTCGCGATTCCTTCGACGTGTAATCGAAGCATTTTAAAAATCAATGGTATCTGCAGCACAACCATGACTATGGTCAGTGTTTATGTAGCAAAGGTAGCATGCATCCTTGGTTCTAAATGCAAAATTTAGGAAGGTGCAGTCCATGTTGACATGCTTGCTTACAATTGTGAAGATATCAGTGGTCATGCTAAGCATAGCAACCTTCTTGCCTTCATCATTGAATTACCTCTGCCAAGTTATTGCTGGTGGCTGAGCACAGTCGACGTGCAAGTGTGCCTGAAGCAACAACAACCATGTCAGACCAGTTTTGCTTGCTCAAGACATACAAAGGATTGAAGTAATCAGGGGCATCTTAATTAGCGAATCATCCAAGGAAACAACTGAACAAAAATTTAAAACCGTAATAAGATTAAGGAGAAGCCAAAGAAATGGGAGGAGCTGTTTCAGGTCAGGAGATACCTTCGCTTGCTCAAACTCTGAACTTCCCATCTTCAGAAACCGATGAAGGAGCTAATCCGACTGGAACAGATACAACATGGTCGACAACTCGAAGAACGGAATCACTCACCGGACTTAAAACAAACCAAGAATGTATCCGTACACCTGGCAATTAAGCAATGGTGAACTAAAGAACTGCAAAATTAAGCAAATGAGGACTACTAACCAGATAACTTTAGTTTTTACAAAAGAAGTGGTTGGGATCTCGTGTTGGCAGTGGGGAACCGTGGCCGGAGCATTGAAGAAGATGATCTAGAGCATAAGCTCGAGCGCGATGGAGTTGTGGACGGTGCCAAGCACCTCGGTGGACTGACGTCGCAGGTGCCGTTGCTGGAATAGCTCCATCTCTGGCTTTACCCATGGCGTCGCGCCAGATGGCGAAAGGGTGCCTGGCGGCCGGGCCTCGCGTGAACTGATGCGCGCGCATCACCTGGCCGGCCGGGACGAGGAGGTGGAGCCGCGCCGGTGGCCGGGAGGTGGAGGCGCACTGGCGAAGGGGAGGAGGCGGGGGCAGGGAGGATGAGGTCGGGCGGTGCTGCGCGCGGGGAGGAAGGCGGCAGCACGCGAGGAGGGAGGCGGCGGCGCGGTGGTGAGGCCAGTGGTCGGTGTGGCCGATCCACTCGTTGCGGAAGAAGGAAGGTGGAAGAAGTGGTGGGCCACGGGGAGGTTCAGTTCGATGGGCTCCGTCGGTGGCCAGTCACGGCGCCGCGGGCTCCCTCGCTCTGGCTGACGTCGTCGCTCGCTCGCCCACAACGGCTGCCTCCGACGGAAGGAGGTGGGTTAGATTCAGGATGGCTCGGGGAGTTTCTATGGTGTAGCTCGTCGTGTCCTTATAGAGCCCAGGGGTAATATATACAATAATATTCTGTTACTGGTAACAGAATAGTCCAGCCCTATATATATACATACACACATATATATATATATATATAGCAACAGAAAAGAAGCTGCTTAATATCATTAATGAGCTTGATTTAAAAGCTGACACTAATTCACTTGACATCAATGAACGGGTGGCTAAAGGAGAGGCCTAGGTCAGTTTGGTGAAGCTTCTGAGAGAAGAAGATATCAAATGGGGCCTTAGAGCTAAAGCGAGTCAAGTGGTTCAAGGGGATAATAATACACAATTTTTACATATGATTGCCAATGGGAAACATAGGAAAAAGAAGAGCATCCAACTTGAACAAGATGAAGGTACAATTGTTGGGCATGAGAACCTTAAGATGTATATTTCCAACTTTTATAATAATTAAGCTGTTTGGGCCCCTAATAGAGAACTATGTCTCACTCAATGAGGATATTGTTGAGGACATAACACAACTGGGAGATGATGAGAATGAGGTTCTCACTGCCCCTTTTACTGAAAAGAAGTGTTTGAGGCAATTTCGCAAATGAAGAATAACAAAGCACATGGTCTGGATGGTTTCCTAATAGAATTCTATAAAGGTGTTGGGATATTATTAAAGGCAACTTCATGCTAATGTTCCATGATCTGTTTAATGGGCATTTAGAATTATTTAAACTAAACTTGGGACAGTCATGTTGTTACCAAAGAAAGAAGAGGCGTTTCGCATTGAGCAGTTCAGACCGATATGTCTACTCAATTTTAGCTTTAAGATTTTTACAGAAGTTAGAAGGAATCGCCTTACACAGATTGCACATTCTGTGGTTCATGCGACTCAAATGCCTTTCATGCATGGACAACATATCCTCGAGGGAGGGGTTGTTCTACATGAAACCTTGCATGAAATCTGTGGCACCCCGCTCAGAGAACCGGAATGCCCCGTATTCTAGCCCAGAGATCGAGGAGAAGTCTTCTGGAATACGACACTGCTTAGCATTGAACAAATCAACTCTTTATTACAATCTAAATGGGTACAAGGGATTACATCGGCACATCGACACTACACCTGCCACGGTTGCTCTATGCAAGCAACAGAACAACTCAAAGCAGTGGAAAAACTCTAGCAGCGGAACAACGACGACGGTGATGAACTCCACTCCGCAGGGACTCTGGCTGGAACACTTATCCTAGCTCGCAAACAAGGAATCCACGACAAACAAGCAATCAAATCCGGCATGACCTGCAAACTGGCATGACACATGTGACCCCCCCCCCCCGATTCAATCGTACACTAATCATGCATGCAAATGTGTACGATCAAGATCAGGGACTCACGGGAAGATATCACAACACAACTCTAAAAATAAAATATGTCATATAAGCATCATATTACAAGCCAGGGGCCTCGAGGGCTCGAATACAAGTGCTCGACATAAACAAGTCAGCGGAAGCAACAATATCTGAGTACAGACATTAGTTAAACAAGTTTTCCTTAAGAAGGCTAGCACAAACTGGGATACAGATCGAAAGAGGCGCAAGCCTCCTGCCTGGGATCCTTCTAAACTACTCCTGGTTGTCGTCAGCAGCCTGCACGTAGTAGTAGGCACCTCCAGTGTAGTAAGAATCATCATGACGGTGGCGTCTGGCTCCAGGGCTCCAGCATCTGGTTGCGGCATCCGAGAAGAATAGGAAAACGGGGGAAAAAGGGAGAAAAGCAACCGTGAGTACTCATCCAAAGTACTCGCAAGCAAGGAGCTACACTACATATGCATGGGTATATGTGTAAAGAGGCAATATCGGTGGACTGAACTGCAGAATGCCAGAATAAGAGGGGGATAGCTAGTCCTATCGAAGACTACGCTTCTGGCAGCCTCCGTCTTGCAGCATGTAGAAGAGAGTAGATTGAAGTCCTCCAAGTAGCATCACATAGCATAATCCTACCCGGCGATCCTCCCCTCGTCACCCTGTGGAAAAGCGATCACCGGGTTGTCTGTGGAACTTGTCTGGGTGTGTTTTATTAAGTATCCGGTTCTAGTTGTCATAAGGTCAAGGTACAACTCCGGGTCATCCTTTTACCGAGGGACACGGCTATTCGAATAGATAAACTTCCCTGCAGGGGTGCACCACATAACCCAACACGCTCGATCCCATTTGGCCGGACACACTTTCCTGGGTCATGCCCGGCCTCGGAAGATCAACACGTCGTAGCCCCACCTAGGCACAACAGAGAGGTCAGCACGCCGGTCTAAATCCTATGCGCGCAGGGGTCTGGGCCCATCGCCCATTGCACACCTGCATGTTGCGAGGGCGGCCGGAAGCAGACCTAGCAACCTCCATTACAAAGGAAGTCACATTACGCGGTCCAATCCGGCGCGCGCCGCTCCGTCGCTGATGTCAAGAAGGCTTCGGCTGATACCACGACGTCGAGTGCCCATATCTTTCCCGCGTAGTTGGTTGGTGCATATAGGCCAGTGGCCAGACTCAGATCAAATACCAAGATCTCGTTAAGCATGTTATTATGAAGTAACCGCGAACGTCGACCAGGGCCAGGCCCACCTCTGCCTAGGTGGTCTCAACCTGCCCTGTCGCTCTACCACATAGTAACAGTCGGGGGCCGTCGGGAACCCAGGCCCACCTCTACCGGGATGGAGCCACCTGTCCTTCCAGCCCCCACATCGGAATCACTTGCGGGTACCCAATGAGCTGACCCGACTTTAGTCACCATCTGTATAGTATGTATATATGTATAGTATATACCCGTGATCACCTCCCAAGTGATCACAGCCCAATAGTATAGCAAGGCAGACCGACAAGAATGTAGGGCCAATGATGACAAACTAGCATACTATACTAAGCATTTAGGACTGCGGGTAAGGTATCAATGACTGTAGCAACAATGACAGGCTATGCAACAGAATAGGAGTAACCGAACAGTAACATGCTACACTACTCTAATGCAAGCAGTATAGAGAAGAATAGGCGATATCTGGTGATCAAGGGGGGGGGGGCTTGCCTGGTTGCTCGGGCAAGAAGGAGGGGTCGTCAACACCGTAGTCGTACTGGGTAGCAGCGGCGTCGGTCTCGGTGTCTAGCGGAAGAAGAGGGGAAAGAAACAATGAATACAATGCAAACATATGCAAAACGATGCATGACAAAGCAATGTGTGATGCTAGGCGTGCCCTAACGCGGTATGAGGTGATACCGGTGAAGGGGGGAACATCCGAGAAAGTATTCCTGGTGTTTCGCGTTTTCAGACAAATGAACCGGAGGGGGAAAGTTGCGAGTTCGATAGGTTAGGGATGCATGGCGGATAAACGGGTTGCGTATCCGGATTCGTCTCATCGTTCTAAGCAACTTTCATGTACAAAGTTTTTCCATCCGAGCTACGGTTTATTTTATATTAATTTTAAAAGATTTAATCATTTTTAGAATTTATTTAATTATTTTAATTCAACATTATCCAGAATAGTGTATGTTGACGTCATCATGACGTCAGCAGTCAACAGGGCATTGACTGGGTCAAACTGACGTGTGGGTCCCAGCTATCATTGACTGTTAACTAACCTAACAGATTAATTAACTAAACTAAGTGATTAGGTTAATCTAATCAGGATTAATTAAATTAATTAATTAATTTTTTAATTAGTTTTATTTACTATTTATTAATTTATTTATTTAATTAATTCTTTTTTTTGTTCTGGGCATGGTCCCCGTTTGCCATAGGCACAAGGGGCTTAGTCGGCATGCGTGCAGCGGGTTACGGGCGCTGGCGGAGCCAAACGAACCCGGGCGACGGCGGCCCTGGCGGGTGCAGCCGCAGTGGGGTCGCGGGCGGTCGCGGTGATGGGAAGGA